CGTGTTGGCGGAGAACCTGCACGCATCAATCGTACTAACCAAGCCAGGACTCGATCCAAGCCGGCAAGTGGATTGGCAGTCATCGGGACCGTGGTTCCGGCTTCATCCGACCCAATCTGAGCCCGAGCACGACAGAGACGGACGAGTAGAGGCAACAGGATTACCAGATCACGGGTAAGCGTCGCGGCCATTACGTGATGCACAGGTTTTGGCGGGCCACTCACAGCAGCGTTGCAACCAGAGTTAAGCAAATTTGTGATCCAACCCTGAATAAGGCAGAATAGAAATTTCAATTCACAGTTATATCAATGTAATTGAAATACACAGAACTATGACGCAGACGCACAGATAATCTTCAGTCAAGTCAAGTCAAGAGTGCATTTTATTCATCCTGTGTGGACAAAGTTTTCAGTGAAAAAATGTTATCGCTTTTGCTTTGGCATACATGTTATTAAATGACTTTAAAGATATGACAAATAGTATATAGAGGATAATGACGAAGAACCGAGAACGCGTAGAAAATGCAAAAATTTACATGAGTTCGTTTGATATTCGTGCCCTGGAAACCAACAAACGTGAAAAGTAAGGTAAAATGGAATTGTGAAAAGATGAGGTACAAGTGTATAAAGGCTTAAATTTATTGCGGGTGACTGAAGTTGAAATGGGGTGAGAGAGGGTTGTGTGTAAAGGATGTGATGCAGCAGACGAGAGAGAGTCTCGCAGACGGTCAAACACCTTTCGGTGTTGGTTGACAAATGAGTAGATCAGTGCCTCGTAAGATATAGCTCCATATCTAGAGACGCTTTTCAGAGAGCGTCTGATTAAGCTGAAATACCTAGACAATAGACCGGGGAAGATAACGGGAGAGCAGAAGGTCCAATGGCATAAAACGCTTGAGAAAATAAATTTGGAGATGATGTACTATGGCATCCTCAGATGTCGAAGGCGTGAACTGCAAGAGGTCAGCTTTTTAACTTTAAGAAATATTTGTTCTGTGACAGGACCATTTGAGGTCGGGAGACGGAAAACATCCAAGATATTTGAAGTATTGTGACCTCCCAACTTTTAAGTTATTGGGAACAGATGATAAAGAAAGTGTTGATGGTCTACAGTTATTGGAAAACCAAACTCTAATGCCTTTGTTCGTGTTTAAAGAAAAGTTAACACCATCGGACCACTCAGCAATGGAACTTACGATTGATTGAAGGGGGTTCGTTGAAGGGTTGTTGTTGTGAGATGCACCACCAACGACTATACCATCGACATATTTAAATGTGAAAACAATTGGGGTGAGTGGCAAGTTTACGATATAAAAGGAGAACAGGAAAGGGGATAAAATTGCTCCCTGCTTACACCTTGATTTACAGTGACAGTGGAAGACCTAATACCATTGAGACAGGTGAATTGGCGTAGGTCGGTAAAACCATGCATCCAATTCAAAAGATGTGGCGGGAAATTGTTACCGTAACAGTGTCAATAAGATGCTTCTATCAAGAAATAAACGCGTTTGTGTAGTCCAAAAAGTAAACATGAACAATTTTGTGTTTTTGATCTATAGTTGATAAAACAGAATGTATAAGACAAGCAACCGCGTCCAAAGTAGAGAGACGCTTACAATAAGCAAACTGATTTGAAATGCATTAATCAAGATTGGAAGATAGATGCTCAATGATAATTCGCCCGAAAGTCTTAAGTAATACTGAATATGAAACGATAGGTCGGAACCTACCCTTTTTGCTTAGGTACTGGAGTGATGCGAACATCGCGCCATGTATTAACTAGTCTACCTACTGATAGACATGTATTAATGAAACGGGTCGTGAGAGGTGGTTCGGACATGATTTAGGACCACTGGGGACAACCCACCAGGACCAGAGGGTTTATTTCTGTTGATAGCATTCAACTCCTTTAAAACGTGTTCTGTTGTGACAGTTTCAGGAAAATGGAAATCAAGTAACATTGTATTAGGACTCAGTAATGCTTGCACAAGATTGTTCTCCGAAGCACAAGATTTGTTAAGCTCTTTATAGTCACATGACACTGAAGTAGGTAAAGTTGAACGACCACAGAGCAACTTCAGTCCGTTCCACATCGGACGGCAGGATCTGTCCCTTAGCACGGTGTCAACATACCATTGATTGAGATGGGCTGTCTCGCTTATTATATAAAAGTTAACAGATTTGACAGTCAGTTTATCTCGTGAGCGATACACCTTTTAGTTCAGCCCAAGTAACCATTTCAGTTTATCAGAAAAAAAGCGGTTGGGCTGTAAGTGAATCCTTACTTGAGGGCAGCGCACAACATAACAATAGTTGAGCTGATTGGTGAGGTCCTCACAGAAGACTAAAATATCGGGATCAGAGATTGGTTGCAAGTTCATACCATGGATTCTAATTCCATCGAAGTGTCCAGATAATTTTGTATACGTATCTTACGTGCAGCGTTCTTCGTGAGCATTTTTTGTTTGCATTTACCATATATTACAGGCAAAACTTTAATTGGACAATGATCGGAATTGTCTACTGGTGCACGTTTTAAGGCACGAAAAAAAGATGGTTTATTAACGAAAAAAGTGGTCCAAAGAGGCATCATTTTGAGTGGAAAAACTAATAATGTTCTGAAAGGACAATTTCACATCCGATCTGTTGAAATCACCAGCAACGATGAAGACGGATGTGACGGACTTCTCCAACATAATTGGATAGCATATATCCGGGAAGATAGATAGCTCATTAGGATTAGGAGTGATGTAGAGATTTCAAGTGATGATTGAAAGGTGGCGCAGAAAAAACGTGGTTTATATTCCAAAGTAATAGAAGAAATGTTTTGTGTATAGTCAGTAAATATGCATTTGCTGGTGTTATACCACGACCGACACGCACATGTGTAATGATACCGCAAAATGCTTAGTATCTGATCTCCAATGGTTTGACTAGTTACATCTTGTTACATTACAGATTATGAATTATGAATTTTGTTTCTCAAATAAATAGCACCATAAGATACCAGTAACGTGTATTAGACAATACATGTTGCTGAGTACCGAAAACACGGTAAAAATGGCTAACAGTGACAATAATCAAGTGCGAGAGGGTCAAAGGTTATGTGAAATTCACACACCGGGTCTCAAGGACAGGACTAACAAACGAGAAACGATACAATCTGAGAGGTGAGATGTGAGATCAACGCGGCACTTCAGTGACCTTGGATTCTCACGACGGTTTCTCACGAAGGTTTACACCAAGGCCCATCAGGCGATTCGTTAAACAGGTCAACTAGAGACCTGTCAAGACTCAATTGGGGGAAACTCGTATGTTGAAAAAAAGAAAGGCTTGCGATCCAATACAGTGACGCAGTTGGTACACGGTTAGACAACAGAATATGAAATCAAAATAAACCTTCAAATACACTTCATTAGAAGTATACTTGCATGCCAGTAGACCGGAATTCAGCCATTCATATCATATGAGGAACCGACCAACTAGAAACCAATACCGCATAATAACGTAAGATGCTTGAACTCTTGTGTTACGTTTCACTACTGAAAATATGCACTAACAATAGAACATGATGGCAGACATCGGGCAGTTTAGTACTAGAGTTGTGAGGTACTACTCACATTTGTAGCCTAATTCACCCCTATCAATGCTATCATCTGGTAAAATAACTCACGGCGTCCCGCACTGTCTTGAGGATTTATAACACTAGGATTGAAACTATTGAGCCTTTCTCAGAATGACTTTTATTCCTTTTCTTTTTCATCTTACTTCCTTTTATTGAATATACAAATATACAATTTTCAGGAGTTTCAGTTTCAGTTTGAACAACCATTACCACGCACATTCGTGCGCCGGTTTTGGTTGCTGTCTTTTTGCTGCACATTTGGATGAAGAATAGGAGAAGAAAGGAAAGTTGAACGTGGAGTGGAACAGAAAATGGAGAAGTTCAGTGGTCTAAGGTTGCAAAGAAATTGAGGGGATGCACGAACGCCACTGTTTACGACACCCAGCCATATCGCTCAGTGTCTCTAACCATCGGTTACGATAATCCCGAGGTCCCCAGCCAGGGAGCCTAACAGGACCTATGTGACCCAGTTTCCTGGTTAGAGTTTTCACACCCTCGTGCCAGGTCTTAACTTGACCACCCTTGGCTTTTTTCCACTCGGTATCTGCTTTGGCGAACATCGCTCGCCGTGGTAACCTACCTGGTGACATGCGTAACACATGTCCCAGCCAACGTAATCTATGGAGGTCGATTACTTGCTCCAGTGGGCGACCGTATTTACCTAAAACTTTGCCCCTAACCTCAGCATTGCTCGTCCGGCTACCCCACCCCCCAGATTTTCAGGAATGGCGAAGCGGTCAATCAACGGGTGTCATTCAACACACAATGGGGCGGTGGGATTCGAACTGACGTCCCGGGGTGATAATTTTGCCGAGAATGATGACTGGATTTCCAAAATCTATCTCAGATGTGATTTGCCGAGGAGATCATTAGAATTGAATATCCGTTTTCTTTGGCATTCGAATGGCAGTTGGAATCGCAAGATTTATTCAAACCATTCGTGAACATGCGAAATTAATGGCATTAGAGAATTCTGAACTCTTGTCAATGACTCTCCCGGTTGCGGTTTGGGAAACGAAAATTCACCAAAATGGGATTCAATAATGAAATGGCTATTCGCCGTTCTCCCGATTCCCCGCTTAAACTTACCCCCCCCTCTCTCTCTGTTCATTTGCCGAGTGAACATTTAACTGTCCAAAGAGAGGCTGACAAGTATTGAAACCAGTCGAATGCATTAGAGAATATATGGGACAGCCAAGTCATGAGGTGCGTTTTGATGGGCTCCGGTGAACGTTATTACCAGAGCTAGTGAAACCGTTCATGCAAGCGTGTTGACCTCGTTATGTGATGGACTGGATAAATCACTTTTATGGCATTTCATTCCAGAGTGAGATTTTCTTTGAACCTGTATATGCGAAAGTATTGGAAAACGAAAGTTTTCTAAACATGGGCAACGTTTTCACTCGCACATAGACGGATACCTTGATTAGTTTAATAAGTGAGGACAACGCTTGGGCCGGACTGACGTCGGATATGGAGTGATTTGACTCTGAATCTTCCAGGCTCTCACCAGTGCTGATCAGTTCATCTCCGACCTCGTCATCCGGACCGGGTAGCGGGTTACGATATTGCGGTTGACAAACCACCGGATAGAGCAGACTGATCAGGCGATGCAAACGTCCGGTACCCAACTGTTCCAAAGCCAGAGTGAATGCATTGTCTAAAACAGATAGTGCCGCGGCAGATACAGAGGCTCCAACACGAATCCTTGCTTCTACATCTGTATTAGATGTGTCACTCCCGTTAGTTGATCGGGTAGTATTCGGACCGGGTGGTTCTGCATACGGTGAGGACAGTTTGTGGTTGTAATAACGAATGACGTGTCTGAGAAAACACAGAGAACGATAGATGAGTATTTCCACCACCCCAAAAAACACCATTCTTAACTTCGGGAACAAAAAGGAGGGCAACAACCGCTTAGCTACAGCCCGAAAACTCCTGTTTAAACACATCATCACGTTAGAGGAGTGTACAGTTAGGAGATTAGAAAATTTCTGGGACGTATTGCATTCACTGTATAAACCTCACCCAAGTGGACATCGGCTGGGATGAAGAGTACAGAAACTGTTGTATATCACACTGGAATAATCGCACAAATTTTAATCTTTTGCTGTATGAACGTTCCTAGTGGACGCAGCGGTGATCAGGGAGTATTGATAACAAATAAATTACTTGCNAGAATTCCTCCCAGGAGTTGCTATCAAATATACAAGATTCGATGGCACAAAGGTTTGATCAACGTGAGAAAATAGTTCTGTAAACCCAAAGATTTACGGTGCGGTCTTGTTGAATCACCAGACAAAGGTTGGGTTGCTTTCCGGTCGGTTGCCATCATTGGCTCATCCACCCAAAATATACATCCACACCCATTGACTAATTGTGACCTGACTCAAGCACGGTCCCACTGCTTGCCAATCATGTGACACGCACACGCACCACGATAATATCTTCAGTTATGCGATCACGTACGCACTAATCACACTTGTCACCTGGCCATTCTGATCAATTCACGTATCCGTAATCCCAGCCAATCAGTGCGCTTGACCTTGTGCCGTTTGCCGATCAGTTACACATCAGACAACAGCGCACGAACTCTGTGGGCTAAACAGTGTCGCGATAAGCGGAAGCTCCGCGGACAGGACTTAACAAAAGTCAGCTCAGTCTGACCACTTCCAGTGATATTCGTATTCAGTACGATTAGCTGTCGGAGGAGGTTACCCAGACGGACTCCAAGTTACATTTATCATAATTATCATCATCATCGTATAGCGAAATACAGTGAAGTGAATATCACTGATCGCTGCAGCATATAAGTGGTAATATGTAAGCTGGATAGGGATTGGACTTACGTGGATGGGAGGTGGAAGGTGAACATCCATGGTTAACACACAGAGTACACAATCGAACTCTGCATATATACCGTTTCGAGCATTCTGGCCCGATAAGCAATGACAACGAGAACGCCACTGCTACCGGTTCGCTACCATATCCTTCTGTCTTCAACCAAACAGTTGCAGTCTTTCGGACGCGAGACACCCACATCACCTAATCACTCGGTGCATTTCTTCATGCCTCGTCTCCACAAGGTTCCCTCAAGCCCGGAGCGGTTATAGAGAATAAAGAACGGTGCGACAGACGACAGTTGGACATACGCAATACGTGCCCTAGTCAGCGAAGCACAATAATCTGAATTCGCTGAACTAGCAACTTTATCCGGATAAACTCCCAAACACTCGACGGCTTACATCCAGATTAGTAACTCACACTCTCTGCTAATCGAAAGTTTCTAGTCGATTGATATCTTCTACTCACAAATTCAAGGTCTCACAACCATAAAGCAGAACCGAACGAACGGTAGCACAATATACACAAACTTTCAACTCCGGTGAAAAGTCGCGTCTACGCCACAGGTGTTTCATTAGTGCGTAAGCAAGACTACGCCTTTGTAGAATATGACTTCCCGAAAAGAAAATCAACAACTGATGTAATACAAAAAAGTCAGTATTCGAATAATCAATGCATAATAAGAACAATAATGTTCAAAATATATGATAGTGCAATCCAAAATCTATAAAGAATAAACGATAAGAATAATAAAAACAGTGAAAATAACAAGAAATACAAAAATCCGACATTGGGAAGGATGTGGTTTGTTTAAGTGACCAAAAAATACTTCCATGTCATTTGATAAGATCTGAGTGGAAAAATTGTATCCCATTCTGTACTAAACCTTGTCCGTAGGTTCCGAAATCATATCATCAACAGATCCATACACATTCTCTAATTGGCGATTTATCCTGCTCGATGTTTTTAGTATGGTTTCCAGTAGCAGGATTTATGAATTCACTATAACGTATGTTTGTCTCTGCAGTTGATAGAGTTCGGGGATTGTAAAGAGGGGTGTGTTTTCCGCCGTACCAGGTGCAATAGTCACCCGATAATAGGTTCCGAAAAAATTATTTCGAGCGACACCTGGGGCGTCACCATGATATCCGATTGTCCCATGAGAGAAGGGGGTACATTACCACAGTTCGTAGCGTTCTGATTTACAGCTGCGAGACCTGGCCTCTCCGTTTTGAGGATGCTAATCTGTACTTGATTGACGATGTCTCCGAAGCATTGCTCGTGTCTGGTGGGAACATCGGGTGAGCAATGACGAGGTTCGTCGTCGTGTGTTGGGTGTGGATAGTCATTCTCTAACAGAAGTAATCGCTCTACACCACCTCCGATGGCTTGGTCACGTATTGCGTATGTCTGTTCACCGACCACCTTTCCGTGATGTATTTGCACCTGCCGGGCAAGTCTGGAAGAAGAGCCACGGCGGTCAGACTATGACATGGCGAAGGGGTATGAAGAAGCTGGCTTCAGCTTTGGCTTCGGTTGGTGCAGCCCGCTTCCAGGTCCGGGCCCCAGGGATGAGGATTATCGCTGGTTAGGGACGCTGAGAGATATGGCCCGGGATAGAAGTCGGTGGCGCGAATGTTGTACGGTCTGTTTGTCAAAATCCCGTGATCCGTGAAAAACAACAAGTAACACAAAAGAACATCAAAAGTGTATGGTGTAACACACAACATTTTGTTATCCCAGTTATCTACCATTTTACTTTTAACTGTTTCACCTTCTTTTCACTTTGTTCAGTATTTCAATCCACGTGCCGCCTGTTACTGTTATTATTGTTGCGGCGTTGGCATCATGCTTGTCTATAAGCCGGTGTTAAATATATGTATGTATATTCGAGCAGTCAGAGCTACCGTTGGATACTTGATTAGAATTAATACTACATTTTTTTATGGAAGAACCAGTCACACGGGCTGCTATGATGGCTGACATATCCAAGAGGACTATTGTACAATAGAACAAGTTTTGACATGACGTGTGTTCGTCGATATGTGATGCTTCAACAAAGTGGTTAGGTCATCAAATTGTGATCTGGGATCCGGGGTTCGAATCGCTTTCCCGCCGCCCGTCTTTGCCGCTTCTGTATTTGCCCTGATAGACTTTGTATGACCGCGGCCCCCTTCCTGAAAGTTGACTGCACATTTTTATATTCAATAGACAAAAAGGAAGTAAAAATACCATTGGGAGGTCCTGGACTTGTTGTGGAGTTCGATTAAACTGCCACGATGCAGAGCAAATACGGAAGGGGAGGGAGCTTTTGTAGTGTACGATCGAGGTCTGAATAAAGGCTACTTACAACGTGTTGACAAAGAGATCTGTTTCNTGTATTAGTGGTTAGGTTTTGAACACATGACAAACAACCGTTCCCGTGAATTTGTAAATACAGCTATTGGAACTCGTACTAATAATGTTGAACAGGCTCAAGAGCTGCATGAACAATGGTCTAACTCATAAATAAGCTAGTTGATAAAAAGCTAAAAAAATACCTGATAAAGTGAAACATAAAAAAGAAGATTTAAATTAGCGTGATGACTGCATTGATACTATCTTATCTCATTCAAGGAGTAGGAAAAGCTTAATACCTGAAAACAAATACAAGCTACGTATGTTTAGTTAAAGGCTGAGGAACGACAAGAACAGATCTGGAAGTTTTGCGGAAAAAGCCGTCGGTGACGTACTGTAATATAGGAACTAGTGTTTGAACTAGCTGATCCCGATAGGCATACGGAGTGCGACCGCGTGTTGACTGACCAAAGTGAGATAGTCGAGCAGCAATAGTGATCAGCAAATGATGTGCAACCGGACCGGCCTCGTCCGCGTGAAAACTGGAACGGAGCAACTGCGGCAAGCGAGCTTGATCCGCCGCAGAGATCAGGCCCATAACCAGCAGACCCGGTCGAACAGAACGATCGTGCAGAGTGACCGGAACCAGAAGCAGACTGCCGTGTCCCGTGGACCCACCGGTGACCGGCGGTAGTTTTCCATAAACCAGATTGCGTAGCTGTACACGGCGAGCGAACAGTTGGCGAACTCGTGTCCAGCTAGTCAGAGTTGAGGGGATTTGTTGCGCACTTTTGGACGAAGTACACCATTGGTGAAAGGAATAAGAGTAGAACAAAAGGAAGCGTAACACTTTGATGACGTTCACCATATAATGATCAGCTATTGAGACGGAAACCCAACCAGAGATTGGAATGACCTGAATCTGAAAAGCGGATGTTTGTGAGGCTGTTTGTCATTCCCGAAAATGTTTTTTTCAGTTCACGGGCAGTAATGACAACAACCGAATGCGATGAGAAGGAGCGCCTAAGTAATTGAACCTTTAATTGCATGAAATCCGAAATGGGTAAAAAATCAATCGTTGGTACATTTCTAATTGAGAAACATTTCAGTTAACAGAAGAACATAAATGAAATTTCTAGAATCTTGTCAATCATTTTGGATGGTTAGAGTACCACGTTGCATACAATCATTAATAACGCATACGACATCAAATTTATGGGTCCTGGCTAAAAATCAGTGGTGTCGTCTGGGGTCGAAACTGCGGTGATCAACCAATGGCAGTTCAACGAGGGGAGATAACTAAAAACCCTGATTTCAAATCAAAC